GACCGCTAGAATTCGCCTCCAGGCGGCGACTGAATTCGACCTAGCTGAGAAGCTAGTGTCGAAACTCCTGCCACCATTGAGACTCGACCCTAGGACCTTCCGGTCCTAGGGACTGCAGTGACATCAGTTGATGCCGTGAGCCATCTCTCGTCCCAGGTCATGCAGAGCCCCTTGCGGCACACGTTCTGCACCACCAGTGCGACGGCCGCGCGCTCCGTGCTTCCCGGAGAGCAGGCGCTCGCGTGCATGGGAATTTTCCGGTCACCGATTTCCCGTGCGGAGGGCGGGGTCGCAGGCACGTACGGGCGCACACAATACACGGCGGACGAGGACTGAGGACTGAGGACGGGCGGCGCTCCGAAGGCGACGCGCGCCGGCTCGTGTCGCCCGCCCCCTCTCTCCCCCTCTCACCCCCCTGACTCGGAGCGCCTTCCGCGAAGCGCTTGCCACGCCTGCCGCGACGTGTACCTAGGCGCAGAGAGACCGGGAGAGGTGGCTCAGGGCATCTACTGATGTCACTGCTGAGCTTCTGACAGAGAGGTCCTACGGTTCGAATCCGAACTATGGCAGAAGTTTCGACACTAACTAGACAGGTGGGTCGAATTCAGCCGCTGCCTAGAGCCGATCTAGGCGAATACCAGAGCAGAACTCTAATGAACGGGTCGTGCATCGCGCGCTATACTTTCTTTCCGTCTGTTTTACTGTCGTCCTCCTTGCACACACTTACACCTATATGCACTACTCAACCCCTGCCCTGTCATATGCCGGGAGACCAGTCGGCAGCTTGGAGCTTGCCCCGGCTAGGGCGGTGCCCCGCTAGTGGGAGATACCTGTTTGGGAAAAAACTCTATAACCGACGGCAGGTCCGCGCTGAATCTCGCCAACGAGCGGGGCAAGATCACCGCAACCACCCGAGGGGGAAAAAGCACAATACATACGGAAATAAAGAACATAGTAGTTGACGCGCCCGGAAGCACTAGTAATCAATCAACCAATCGTAGTCGCGAAGAGTGGCGCAACCTCAACGACCGCTGTCATTTAATATGCTCCCTCTCGATAGCCCCGCGGGGCAGCATTCAGGAGTTACGGAGGAACAATCGTAAGCGTTATGGAGAGTTCCGAGTAAGTTATCATTGGTTTTCCGTAGAATAGTAGATCCACACTCCCCAACGATCCAGCACAGTTCAATTGGACATAAAAGGGCGAATTCGAAGGGATGTGCTACTCTTTGTATCTGGGGACTGTACTCCATTCTAGTAAAGAGTTTGTCGATGAAGTGTGTAGCAGAACCTGAACGAGCGCTCTGATTCGATAGCCACCACCAGGCAGAATGCACAAGTTGACAAGAAACTATAGCAATTGAAAGCATTGCGGATAGTTTCAAGGATATTAATATTGTTTCTGATAGATTAGTGGTTTCCAATACACTCAATAACCCACAGTCCAAACACCTCTTCACACTGGCTTTAAAATGGCGGACTCGGCATGAAGGAGTTATTCTCTGTGTCAACGTCTCATATTCTCTGGCCACGTCTGCCGCGCTGCGCCGGCGGCTCTTCAACGCGCGCCCATGAAGAGGAACCCGCATCGCCAGAGTTCGCTCAGAGCAACACTGCAACAACTACCTCCGGGAGATCGTATGGTTGGAGTCGTGGCAGTGGTAGAATTTTCGACACTTGCTAAATAAGAGGGCCGAATTCGGCGAATTTTCAACAATTCTTGCGAATGGCTGCTGTGATCGGTGGTTTTCCTTGGTTTGAATTGAATTGAATTGAATTGATGCCTTATTTTAAGTGACGAGACTTGGGCCATCAGGCCCGCTCTTCCGTCTGACCACGCAAATTTTGCTACGCTCCTTTTTCCAAATAGCGAAGAAAGGAGGTACT